GAAAGAATTTACTTACAGAGACAGGAAAGAATTCAGTGTTTTTCAACCTAAAATTGCAGGCTCTTGTGAACTCGGTTAAATTTTGTTCAAACATAGAATAATATCCTCACCTAAAACCTCAACAAAGTTTTCTATGACACATTTCTTAAATATTCACATTCTCCTCACCTGGTGTAATTGGTCTGCTGAGCCTTCGTCCATCCTAAACTCAGAGACAGGAACAAGGAGAGACCCCAGATGCAGCCCACTTGCACCATGATGCAGCGTGCACACAAAGCAAAGCAGACTATTGCAGAAAAGGGAGGTGGTAGCAGGAGGCAAGAGGTGTAAGACAGAGGGGGAGAGGACGAGAAGGAGGCCGCTTGCTCGGGATGGGCGGAGAGAATGAATGAGAAGGGGGGAATCGGAGGGGAAAGAGAGTTCGAGAATGGGTAAAGAGATGGACGGAGATGCTGAAAAGACAACGGAGGCGACAAAGACCCATGAAGGGGGATGACGTGAGTGGGGAGGGAGGGAGGGACGGACGGAGGGAGGAGAAGGCTTTAATTAGAGCCAGATGTTTCTCCATAATAGCCCTGCTCTCAATATAACAGAGAGGGCATCTAGGAACGAAGGGCAGAGAGGAGTAGTGCCAGAAGCTGTGGCTGAAGCTTTGTCGACATTCAGAAAGGAGTGAAAGGAGTGTCATTTTACAGCAGATGTTTCTGGTTCATCACATGGTTGAACCTTACAGTAAAAGAAGCTTGAAATTGAGTTTGGATGGTTGTTAACTTCATTAACGTCCATGACTGACTGACCATTATGCAGGGTTGCACAGGTGGGGCCAGAGCCTGAGGCTCCATGGGCGGTAGCACTCAACTATTTGGGCCATAAATCTTTACATTCCACAACAACATGTGAGACTTTTAATTTACAAACAGTGTGAGTGCTGGATGAAATTTCAAACTTCAGCCATCTAGTTTAAACAAAATACATACAGGATCCAAAAGGAGCTACAATAGGACCTAAACAGAGAAGTATCATAAAACCAATGATCTCTTTCCTCTTACCGTGTTTCCTCAAGCCCCAGGGGCTCCTTTGGCTCCATTACATGTGAGCCAGAGAGCATCTATTGCCCCCACAATCCACCAAGGCAAGAATAACACTCTAGATGGGGGAGTATTTTTTCCCTGTTAACATTCACCAACCAGCCAACCCTTTGGCCTACATTACTGAGGCCTGTGAGGGGGATGCTGTTAGAATAATGCAATAAAATCAGTCACTTTCACAGCGTACAGAGCTGCAGCACCTTGATCAAAGTCAGGCACGAGCAGGATGGACAGCTCATAAAAGCACAAAGCGAAGTTTCCACAGAGAGATTGTGTCTCCAGTTACATGTGGCATATGACTTTAGATAATTTTTTACACTGTGTTAAGAAAATTCTTTCAGGTTTTACGGCCTGCTTGAAATATTTTTGCCGCAGGTAAAGACATGTGAACTTTGACAGTTTAAATGCTCCTAGTGAGCGAGAGAAATGAGCATTCCCTGGTCCTGCTGTGCAGTGTTTGTGTTAACCTAAAGTCCTGATAACAGGCAGCAGAAGCAGGAATGCAATGACGTGCAGAGTCTGCTGGGGGGCGGACAGCATCTGGGTGTGCACAACTGTCCAGCCACTGCCAGCATGTGTGGGAGTAACAGTGACCTTTATACTTAGCAACCAATCCAAGGGTGTAGGTTTCTGCAATAACTCCTGACGAATCCTTCAAGCGGGACATGCATTCCTTTTGGAGAGTCAGAGGGAGCAGCATGGGGGAGCAGATGACTCTTGTGAAGAGGAGAGAGATGGGTAAGGAGAGGAGGGGTTGAAGAAATCAGAAAAATGGAAAACAAACTTAAAACGATCTGACAGAGAGGCAGTTTAACAAAGTGAGAAGTTGTTTTTGAATGAACCCCCAGAGTTAGTCCACACATTCCCTCGGCAAATTACTCTCTCATTACGTCTAAGATAATCTCTTCAATTTATAAAAACACTATTAAATGTGGCAGTGCACTGGGGAGGTGTAAAACAGAATGAAAACCAATGTGTGTGCAGTTGTGTGAATCCATCTGAGAAGGTGACAGACCGAAACTGATGATTTCACAATAATCGTAGACCCATCTGTTCTCTGTAATTGTGGTTCCTCTCAAATTCACTCTCCGCAGGTTAAAAAAAGATCAATCTTCCAATTATGCAGTGCAGTACGGCGGGCCAAATTTCATGTGACCTCTGCAATAAATAGAAAGACACAGAGAGAGATAAAGATTAAACTAGAAATGGTATCCTGCTTTTAATCAGAGAAATCCTTCAAGAGCATTACAGATGGAGCCAGGCACCAGAAGACTCTAAACTGTATGAAATATCAACATTTTGTCATCAGTTTCTAGCAGCATCCAAGATTCCCAATTTTCAAGCTAATTTGATTTTCTTAGATAAAAAGAGGGATGTCAATAAGGCATAATAGCTATTTCCTTTGTGCCCTGCATGAAAGAATGTGATATTGTGCGCTCAGTGTATGGACAATGTGCTAAAAAGCTCACAGCACCTCATTTGGCATAAACAGGATGTTGCATTGAAGTGAAATCTTGTAATAAGAACCCTAAAACACACTGTGGATCCACATGTTTCTCTAACAACTACTAAAATTAAGCATACAGTATCACACTTAATGCTGGGAGCCTTCCCTGACTTCTCATGGCAACAGCTCAGGAGACACATCATCAGCTGCCAGTAAGTCGAGGTATTATAATGACAATATCATACCTCATAAAGAAAACCTCAATTTCACAGTGGAAACAGCAAAAAGGAATCTCTTCTTTTTCTTTTCTTCTTCTTCTTCTTCTTCTTCTTCTTCTTCTTCTTCTCAATCAATAAATTCAAATATGCTGCTAAGTTTCAAAAATGAAAATTGCAGCGGAAATTGCAGACATTCATATAGTCATGCCTGACTGTTAATATGGATGACTAATTGGCCAAAAATGTAGTGAAAGAAAAGGGATTGTGGTTGCACTGGTGTACTTTTGCTACTTCTAAATACATAAAAAGCAACATAAGACACATTTCCCATCCTTTCTATTTCCTGTATACTCTATAATTATAGTCTGTGTAGTGGACTCTAATGATTATTCTTTGTATACAGAGAAATGTCTTTTAACACATTATGATCCACAGAACCAAATGTTTATATGCAGTGATGCTATGCAACGTAGACGTTATGTGATATATATATATATATTTATGATGAGTTAGCTGTCAGATAAGTGTGTGACAATGGGTCCACAATATGCATGCCCATACTGTCGCCATGGTGACACCTGGCGGTGAAAACCTGAAACTACAAGTTGGGCGCCGGGGAGCTGCGGTGTGAGAGGTGGTGGGTTCACTCTTCACCCGTATTCAGTCACCCTGCGGTTTCATCTTCCTCTACGGAGAAACCATCACAAATATATATTTATAGCCTATATATTGTTTAAATATATATATATATTGTTATTCCACCTACAGTAGCCGTGTGTTTTAACCAGGCCACACACTGGCAGCCTCAAAGTGGTGTTAGCTCGTTAGGCTTTGGCTAATATCTTGTAGTAGGCGATTAGCCGGTAGTTCGGCTGTCAGAGGTTGGATTTGATGCCGGTGTCAGGCAGGCGATTGTGGGCGCAGGGGAACAATGTTTTGAGCTGTCCAAACAACTGAAGAAAGAAAGTGAGAAAAATATCAGCACAGCGATGTGTCAGCTGTTCTTCACAAAGCAATAGAAAACCCGTCCCTTCTGTGAACTGACGATAGTAAGCGTTTCTGAGGACTAACGTTAGCTTGGCTATGTCTGGCAGTTTATACGGTGTTTATGAAGAGTGGTCTATTCATTATGAACTAACTAACTAACGTAATAAAGGAATGGAGGGAGTATGATACAATGATTTGGATACAATATATATAAAGCCACCATAAGAACTTCAAAATAAAAGTCGCCGGAAGTGACTCTACGCATTACTAGTGGGTGAAAGACTAGGAATGGAAAATACTGCTCCATCATTCTACATGACTGTGGAAATGTTATTATACTAACATTAACTAACCCTCCAATCATTTTAACCCTAGTGTACTGCATGAACCACAGTAGGGGATTAATAATGTTTCTCTGTGAGATCTGCACTGTTATACAGTGACACATGTTGATAACATACAGCATCAAATGGAAGAATGCAAATGCCTTATATATATACTTCAATGATAAAGTCTCTTTTAAATGTTATTGTCATCACTTCCAACACATATGGCTCTTCATGCTCTCTGACAGAGGATTGTAGTTTTAACTAGGGCTGCACGATATGGTAAAAAATATCATATTGTGATGATGCTGTGACAGATATTGTGAGATATATTTAACAATTAGTGTGGAAATAACTTTTATCAGAAACAAATTTTCACTTTCATTTTTTGAGGTGTGTACCCAACAAACATCTTTTTTAAAAATCTGGATAAAGATTTGTAGGCCTGGTCATCTCTTCGTAACTACAGTACTTCATTCCAATGCTGTTTGTTAAACACTGTACCTTTATCAAAAAATTGCTGCCTTTTGGATATTGCACTTGGCCATATTGCGATTTAGATAATATTTCGGTTACTTGTGTAGCCCTAGTTTTAACTGCTGATAAATGGGACTAAGTGCATATTTCATATATGTGTGTGTGTGTGTGTCGGTGTGACACAGAGGAATGTGGAGGTCAGCTATAGAAACACAGCTTTGTGACTCTGAATTAATACAGAAATGTGCACTTTTATGTCTCCGGGTCTGCATGTATTTTTGAAACACATGTAAATAGTATGAATTGAAGAAAGAGCTTTTTCCTTGTATTGATAATAAATTTATGCTTATTCATACAGGTCAGATAGGTCCCAGAATTGCAGTCAAAATTGCATCTGCCCATTGTTGCACACCCACAAAGCACGTGAAGCACACACAAAAGTACAACTTTTCATAGGTACTGTTTTTCCAATATACATATATTTCATGATGTTCATCAATATAATAAGACATTGATAGATTTACACTACAATTATTTTATGTACTTTAGTTTTTCATTCAGTCTCCTCTCCTTTACGTTGAGTCAACCTTGCTTAGTTTCTAATCCCATACCAAATGACAGCACAATAAATCTATCAATAAATAATATCAAAGGAAAAGAAAAAGATCTAATAAAACTGAGCACATTGCCCATGATCCTCCAGTCCTGTCCCTCCAGTAAGGCCAGAGGACCAGGGGCAATATGGGCCTTCATCCTAAAAACCCCAGTCCCAAAGAGAAACCAAAATCTTTCCTCAAAAATAAACAGATTTAAACAAAAAATATATCTTGTAGATACAAACGTCAATCTGATGTAAACTGTAGAATCATTCTAAGCATTCTGGACAATTGAAGGTAAAAATACTTTTTTTCCCATTAACTTCCCATTTTCTTTACCTTTACCCATCAGTGCTTGCACACAAACAATTCAGTGACATCTGGAGTTATTACCAAATTGATGCAAAAGAGAAAAAAAAAACACAATATTCGGTTAAAAAATAAAACATGTTAACATATATTAAGTAGAATATTGTATGTTTATAGCCATCCAGTGAACATTCAGAGACTCAGGTTCCCTCCTATCGCTGCACTCATACCATTTGGGGGTGGTAAACGTTGGAGAACATTCCCTGCTCTTTTGTTGGTCTCTTTCTTTCTGCTTGTTTCCTTTCAAGTTTGAATCACAAGTTCACGAGTTATAATCCGAACCTGGAAGAGGGTCTGAATGCTTTTTCTCCATGTTGGCAACTTGCATTGTGGACCACCCCCAAATGACCTGAACGCAGCGTTAAGTTGAGATCACTGAACAATTCTTCAGGTTGACGTAAGACAATATTCTCCACTGAATCATGTTCCCATCCCACCGAAATGAACAAACCACAACAGAAAAAGTGCCACGGTGTTAAAATATATGCGCACTTCTTTTCATACAGACAATAAAGCAACAGAAAAAGAGAGCACTCACTTCATTTTCACTTTTGTGATCAAATAGGTTGAGCACTCACAACAGTTGGATTTATCGATAACACAGAAGTCCTACCCCAATCAGTAGTGTTATTTCACTTCAGTCCACTGTGTGGTTAACTCCTGCAGGATGGCTTAAAGGACCACATTTGTAACCCTATAATGATTTTCTATTGCCGAAAACCCAATTTTACAGTTAATAATATAGTTTTTGTCCTCATATATATTTTGGTAAATTGCTAATACCTTAAACCTGAGGATATAGGACCCCCTACTCCCCAAACACCCCCATATTACAACACCAAACAATGCAGATTTTTTGTAACTTTTTCTTGGTTTATGTTTAATAGCTAGTAAGTCTACATGTCTTTTCATTTTTGAACTTGGCAGCACTATGGAGACACAGAAAAAAAGAAGAGTTGTGCTATTATTTGTTATAGGATCATGTGTCTAAAAACAGATTAAAGAAGCTCTTCAGACCTGGGTACACATGGTGGGGGAGACTGTATTTGAGATTTGAAGCATGCGGTCCTTATGTTTTGGTTTAATTTGCATATGTTAGACTGGCACACTCACAAGCCAAACTGACACACCATGTACATGGTGTGTGACAGTTAAAAGGTCCTGTAAATGTGGATAAATAAGGTAAGGGTATAAGCTTTTTAAAATAGACTAGGGTAGTTTGGATAACCTGTTTCTCTCCACTTGTTTTTGATGGCAATTGGCAGCATAAGCATGGTAATCTGGTCTTTGGTAATCTTCTGCAGTTTCATTTTGCTCTGTTTGGAGGGAAACTTGTAGGGGAAGTGAGGAGAAGTGGGTTTGTTAAGGTCGTGGTCCTTCCTAATAGAACTGGCCGGCAGATCTGTAACCTCTCTGCTTGTGTACTTCAGTGGTCAAGGAAACAACGTGCCCTCACTCTGAGATTTAAGCGGCCTAATCTGTCGGGATAAACTGGGGATATTCCCAAGACAGAGCTATTCTAACACACACACACATTGATGCGGCTATGCACACTCAGACACACGCGCGCACACACACACACAGACACACTTTAGGATTCAGAATCAGTGAGTTGAGCAAAGGGGGGCAGGTTGGTCTTTTCAGCTGGTGGGGGAGATAAAAAGTCATGTTGAAAAGAGACAAGGCTACTAAGGCTTTACACACACTTTTTTTTTTTACATATTGTAGGTGGTTTTGTTGTCTATAAGCCACTGTTAGCTAAATTTATACCTTTTAGGATAGTTAACAATGGCATTAGTGGCAATACAGCATGAGTTGCTTTCTGTTCATTGTAGCATTTATTATTGCAGGCCTGCACACTTCTCCATTTCATGAGACAGAGATTGGATTTTGATTGAAAAATCCAATCATTTACAAGCTTAGATTTACCAAGACCACAAGTATAACTCTAGTTCTATAGTTGAAGGTAAAATCCCCAACATTTGCAGTTTTAAGGAATTCCAGATCCTCATGTTCATGTGTACAAGGCCTTAGTTTGACAGGGCAGTAAAGAGTGCATCATATTGCCCTGCTCTCCTGCTCATAAAGTGGCCAAAAGCGTAGTATGCACAGGAGTAGATGCCAACAAAATGTAAAAGACCATACCAGCGAGGGCACCAATGAAAGAAATAACAATAGAAGCCTCTCCCTTGTTGCTTGGCAGTGTATAACGCACGGAGCTGAATTACAAAAAACACACCAGACAGAGGTAAAGAGGAGCTCGCTGCTGTTGGCAGCAATTAGTACTGATTGCACACTTCCTCTTTACCTGTCTGTTTCACACAAAAATATACTATAATAAAAAATATAATCTATTATATTTTAAAAAAGAAAAAAAGGCCTTAACTATAGGGAGTAACACTGAGAACCACTGCGCTAGCAAAACACACTTGAATAATTGCTTTTCATGTCTCTTGTCACTAACCTCTGACCGTAAATATCCTTCCCCCAAAGTTGCTGAACTCAAACATAACTGTAAATTCGACATTTTTCCCATCCCTGTTCCTGGATTTTCAAAATAAGGCTGAATTGTCTCTTTTATGTGCTCTTCATGTGGAGAGGTTTTGCTGCACGAGGATCTCCTTTGGCCAGGCTATTGACCAGCCAGACAGCGCCATCAAAAACAAGGTTGTTTGTGCATTTTAAACAGATTCCTTCTCTGCAGTCAGCCACTCCCCCTACACAGACTGAAAGTGTGAGGGCGTGTTTGACTGGAAATATTCTACAGTAACTAATAGAAGTGACTGGAGACTAAGGCTTTTCAGTATCCATGTAGAATTAACCTTTGCTTTATGGAAATTAATCAATTGCCAATGAATGCAACGGCCCCATTTTATCACCTGGCATTAGAATTGTTTTGCGAACCCATATCCACAGTTTGACATCAATGACATCTCCACAGTATACTGTAAGTGTAATGTTAGGATAACATTATCAATATTACAAAAGAAAAGAATTTGGACAGAAGTCTAATCCTGTCTATCCAGAGGTTACCCTTACAGCTACTAACTAGAACTATTTTCTCCTATGGTTTGTATGACCAACATTTTCGACACAAGTTTTATCGCATGTATTTTTTTTTTAAAGATACTTACACTTACATGTGCTACGGTAAGACCATTTGCACTAGACTGCAATGAAGGAATGTTTTCGAAATAAGACACTACGTAATATTTAAATAAAAAAGAATAATCTACAGACATTGGTCCAACTGTACTATGGCAGTTTTGAAATTATCCGAAGAAAATTGAGGTGTTCAAGCATGCTAAGAGACAGAAAAGGGTTGGGGCGTTAAAGACATTACAGATGAAATACTAGAGGAGCTAAATGGAGAAAGAGAAAGTACACTCAGATGGAAAAGACTAGAAATGATGGTTACTAGGGATTAGTTAACAATTCATGCATTACTTGTATGTTTGATCAATATCGATGAGCATTAACTCTCTTGGTAAGCCAGCAAAGAAGCCAAGACTTGAATTTATGATGGCATCAAGTTATAGAAATCTGGAGCTATTGTCAAGGGCAGTTTTGTCTATGTTGCTCAAATTTTTGTAACTTGATATTTTTTTTGTACAAGTTTTTAGCTCTCTGGCTTATTTTGGACTGTCCTTGTGGACATGAGTGACACAGATGGACTCGAAAATGAACTGGTATTTAGTTAAATGGAGACTAACTCCACTGTGCAAAAATACACCAAAAAGAGAGAGTAAGCAGGGGACAGACAGATGATGATAACATGCAAGATACACACTTTGATTAATAGGCAGTATTTAACGCTGAAGCATACGTAAAATTAATACAAAAATTAAAAAATACAAAATGCACACACACACGCACACACACCTACAAAACAGTATATATCAGAATAAAACTCTACAAAGAACTATATATATCAGTTATGTAACAATTATCGCCAATCGTTGTTTCCTTTTCTGTTGTTGCATCGTCACAAGTGTTTGGTTCTCAGTATGGCAGGTTAGAAAAGCCAAGAGTACCCAGAAAGGAGACAGGGCCACACACTCACAGGACAAATATTGACAGGGGTCCAGAGGCGAGGTGGTGGAAGTGGGGGAGCCATGGGGCCCTGAAGGGTTTAGGGGTGTTATATCGAGGCTAATCGGGGATATACATATATATATGTATATATAATAAATTATTTTCTTATGGTTAATTTTGTAATCAATTTGAGGGTTTTTTCCATAGCAAGGAAGTTGGGATTAGATTGGGGTAGGAGCAACTCTTCTTAGGTGCTGAAGTACACTGTTGAAAGAAAGAAAAAGGAGTTGTTTAATTCATAATGTTAAAGTAATGAATCAGCATTAAAAAAAGCTATCAAACCAACATTTACCAATAGCTTTATTAGGTTTGGGAAATTAATACTTTTTTTAGGAGCATGCCTTATATTATACAGTATATGTGTGTTGTGTGTTAAATATGTGACAATTTGTGTTGCTATTTTACAATTGATTCATCCCATTGAGATGACGATGGCAACTCTACAGTGTGTTCTACAGTGTATGTGCACAGAAAAGAGAATTCTTACCAATAATGACGATGAGGACAATCACGCATATCACACCCAGGATAATCATCATCTGTGGTCAGTGGATTAAAAAAAAAAGTCATTAGAAAAGTAGTCAAACTTGTCATATTTTTACCATACTTTCAATATTTTCTTAAACAAATTCTTAAAAGCCCCAAAACACAAAACAAAGGCCATGTAGTCCAGGCAAAATTTCACTATGACACCAAACTTTCACTTGCCCCTGTCTGTATTATTATTCACGCTCATATATGGATTTCTCAACTGTCACCTAATCCACAGTTAAATTAACCTCAATGACCTCAAATTCAAGTACCGTCTGATTTTTTAAAAACATCGCTGCACAGCATGAACGATGATTCCTAAGGAGTCATCATGCCAGTGTCATCTCATGATGATGTAGATAGTACAGTACATGTCGAATTTCTACCCCAAACCAACCAATGACACATCGATAATGATGATGAGAAAAATGATACTTGTGAACAAAGTCTATAGCAGAAATCGACATTTGTGATTGGCCACACATTCCTAAAGGCTTTCCTTTAACGGGACAGTTCAATGCAGCCTTTATACACATGCATTTGCTATTCGAGCAAGCACGTCTGCGTGTCCTCACCTTGGCGTTCTTCCACCAGTATTTATTCTTCAGTTTTGCAGCGCTGGTCTCAAACTGAGAAGCTCCAGCCTGCAGGGCATCAGCCCTATCGTCCAGTTCTGACAGCTTCTGATCACGCTCCAGAACCTTATCCACGTTTACACGCATGATATCCACCACCTGGGGAAAGACACGCAAAGCAATGCAGCGCAATCAGGTATCAAGACAGAATGACTGTGTGTGTGAGGGTCCGACAGCATGGAGCTCAAATGTTAGATATGGATTATGATTGGAAGTTGTTTAGTACGTTTTGTGTCAAATCATGGTTTCAAGCAGTGTACTTATGATTAAAGTCAAACCCATCCCTAACAATGATTTGTGTTTTTCCGTTTAAAATGTGATGGAGTTACCAATGAACAATGCTAAAACCGTGTCTACATCTGAGCCTGACAAAATGACTTTGGAGTGAGGCGACTACTTACCTCATCCACCTGTGCCTGCGTCTGCTGCAGACGACGGTTGCTGGTGAGGTTGGGAGGTTGATTCCCTCCCTCTGGTGCAGGGGCTCCAGCGGCTGGGGCAGACCTAATGATAAAAAAAATACAAATATCCAGTGGTTATATAAAGCATACAAACTAAAAAGACCTTGAAAACACAATAGTAAGGAAAACTTCATGCCAGAAGCTTTCTACCTAATACAGTTTTATTAAGTGAACGATTAATGTTCTCCATTAGCAAATTAAAAAAAGGGGGATGAAATGTAGCAAAGGGCTACAGGTTGGAATCGAACCTGGCCAGCTGCTGTAAGGACTGATTCTGCCTATCTCAGTTAAAAGCTCATTAGTGACAAAAACAGGAAAATGGCTTTACTACCCAGAGTAAACTGTTCAAATAGTGAAACACAGATCAAATATTTCATATACGCTAATGCCCTGAGGTCATTAAAGATGAGTACATTGTCCCATTACTGCTCTGTAATATTTAATATCTGTAATCATATGTAGCCTAAGCGAGTAAAGCAAAAGGGAAAATATTCCTCACAAATACATTATTTAGGGACACTGCTTTTTGTCGTGGATGGAAGAGGGCTGGGAGCTATCAGATAATGGCATTGTGATGGAGACACTACTGTATATCCAAAGGATGTATAAATGCTCAAATTTAAACATGGGTATTGAGACGGATGTTAGAATTAGATGTAATTTGTAGGATTGGGAAGATTCACTGTGTTCCAAAAATGAACAAGTCCATATGTTTATCACTGGAGAGTCCAGATAATTGCCTTCTATCACAGAAAGAATCAACTACTGAAGGCTTTCCAAAAGTCAAATTGATTTGTCACATCATGTTGTATTGTGACCTATATAGACCTATTCTTTTGGATGCACCATGCACCAATAATGACTTCAGTGAGAGACAGGCAGTTTAAGTGAGAGTGTCATTTACCAATAAAAAGTGCAAGCTCCATGAAAAATGTCTCGGCTTCATGTGAACATGCACTTGTACCTCTGTTCTTTGCAGCAGGAATTTATGAAAGTTAATGTTTTTTTTTTTTTTTTGCAAGTTGAATTCTAATCCTGTTACATGAATGATGAACATAAACCTGTGTTGAGTGACAGCTCATGGTTACACAGCGAAAACTACACACCAACTGTATATCTCATGCAGCAATCCAAGATTGTTCACAAACATAGAGCACAGCATCGTGTAACAGCTGAGCCTAGAACCTACCTAAATAAACAGAACTGGCAGAGTTTCCTTAATCTTCAGATACACCAAATATTCATTCTTCTCCTAACTCTCTGACAGGCTTTTTAACATTAGAAAGGAAAATGTACCCTAGAAATTCACCTTTAAATGCATTCTTATTCTGAAATACATTAGCAGATAGGTTTCATTAAAAAACAACATGTTGCTGAAAGATAAGGGAGATCATCAAGACATGGATATCAATAAAATTCTATTCATGGCCATTCTGTTTTCAACATAAGAATTAAGCCTAGTTCTTTACTGGGGACATTTTTCAAATATCTCCAAAATTAAATTTTTATTTTAGTTGTATATGAAGGGGTAGTTTAAATTCATATGAAAGACTAGAAAATATATATATATATATGAAAATATCTTTATAATAATCAGACAGATTATATTATATTTTTGACACCATATTACAGATGAAGGGCTGGCAGTTTGAGATCCCTGGTCTAAACTCAGTCTTAACATTATTACATTAATGTTCATCCTAAACATTCTGCAACTTGATGTTGCAGCAGATATATTTCAAAAAGCAAATGAAAAATGCTTAAAAAGCTTATAATACTTTAGCATGTAGTGTGGAGTCCCTAGGCATGCTTAATTAGCCTGCTTTATTGCCATCTATCAACTCAGATAAATCAATAAAATTATTAAGTGAATTTGTAAACTGGTCTTCTATGATAAAGCTGAGGCTGTAGTATAGACCTTAGTTGTAATTAGGTTACACTACTAATGTGAGACAAAACTCTGTATAAAGGTCACCTTTACACGCTCACACATTACTAATCCTCTAACAACAACAAATCCTTTTGAATAGTTGGCCTGATGGTGCTGGTGGTCCCTTCAAGCTGCAGACCAGCCCAACAGAAACTGGCAATAGAACCTGTGATACCTGTGATATCTACAGTATAATGGTGAATTATTATTATCTATGTGCAGAACATACTAAGTAGAGTTTGCAAATCAGCAACTGTATTGGTGAAAAAACCTGATAAAAGACTGTCGACATTCACTGCATAATATTAAACTACACAACATCTATGTAATCACTGTATGCTTCTTTTCACCTCCCAGCAACAATTATCACCACAAAGGTGTAATGTGTGTGGAGGTTCACGCCATCATCACCTATGAACTGGCACTCCAACCAATCAGGAAGAGTTGCTAGTGCAGCGATGAAGATTTCTCACCAGCTTCCATGTCCTGTGAGTACCGCACACTGTGTTCAATGGAGGGACAAACTGGAAGCTCCACACCCAAGTGAGGCAACTGTTTCTGATCTGTGCCACTCTAGCGTACACTCGTTTCACTTTCAGTTGATAATGATAAACTGAGACAGGTCTCTATGTGCTCTACTGATTGTGGGACACACACATGGGATACTAACATCACCTCCTTCATTTGCTGTATACTGATACCATTTTTTGAATTGATTCATGCAGTCAACAGGTATTGGTGGTGAATGTAACCTGGTATTTCACTCAAATCTAAAATCTCAATGTCTAAATCTAAAAAAAGACACTGTTAGCCCATATATTTAAGCTTTTTGACAAAAAAAGATTAAATATCTCCGTGCTGATGAATTTGCTGATGAATTGATGTGTGGAGTCTCCCCATTTCCAGAGCATAATACAGGGAAACAACAGAACACAAACAACAGGAATTCTTAGGAATATTTTGCAATCAAACATAAAAAAAATGCAAAATCACGTCTGTTCTGAAAAAGGCAGATAACCTAACCTGCTTGCATTGGAAAGGTTTAACGTTCCATCTCCCTACAGGTCACTGCTAATGTCAGACTTGCTATGAAAGCTGAATATATTCAACTTATAAAAATAGTGTCTCCCTGTGGTTCCTAAAGACTGCTCGTGCGACATTGAGGGGTCTGTACGTGGTTTTTCAGTTGTCCCTGATGAAATGAGGAATAATTTCAACACATATCCTTCACCCTGTATATAGATAAATTGATATAATTAATACTATCACATAATTTCACATTTGATTTAAAACAACTATTAAAGGATTTCTGTTAGTTTGGTGCCTGTCATGAAAAAGCATGCTGTCTGACTTTGAGCACTGGAGAGCGACATTTCAGCACTGGACAGCGCCACATCAGCCCAGACCACAAACCGTCTGATCCCAGCCTCACTACCGTCATTCTGTTTGATGTTACTGGAATCTAACCAACAACATTCACATCTATCATATCTCACCGTACACACACAGTCACACCAGGCCTACACTGTGTCCTGTAAGACATCACGTTTCACGTTAGCACGGCGGGCCTGAATACACTGAAAGCCTACCACATCGAGGGCGGGGAGGTTTCCTTATGATTTTACCCATATGGATGAACACATATAACCACATTTTGGTGACAAATGTAACGTACAGCCCACACAGGGGGTGTTGAATGCGTTGCCACGGTTCAATGACACGTCGTGTGTCGGCACCAGGCTGTCTCTACGTTTTAACCTCCTGCTCTGAAAAAAAGGTTGTCACGGCTATCTTTCCTTAGCCTACCCTTTATATGTTTGCTTCAAGCGCAGTCGAAAACAGAAAGGGACACATATGGCAATGGGGGAAAGACATTTTATAGGGTTCATTTGGCCCTGAAGACACAAACAGCCTGAAATATGGTGAGATATATAGCTGTCCGCCCTCGCACGACAATCGACGACATACAGTAGGAGGCTAGGCTATCCCCACCCCCCGCTGTAGGTTGCAAATATCACGTAAACTAGGCCTAAGCCTACTTCAGAGCTAATAATATCATCGTCTATAAGAAGGTCTGTAGAGTATTCGTCGAATAATGTCGAAGCTTTAAATGTCCAACATGGTGTCCTTGCTGTTTCTAGAATTAGCCTAATCGTCACCTGTGGTTCAGCGACACGACAAATAAGGCCTGCAAATGCCCAGTAAGGACAAAAAGGCTTTATTGTACATGATGTTTTCTTAATGTGGTTTTAATTGGCCTGTGGGTAATCGCACTGACGGTGTCCTTTTCAAAAAACCAAACCAGTCCAAACTGGAAAAGATTTCGTGCGTGCTGGCTCCGGTGAAAAGCAACAGACGACCAAATAAAAGAGGCACGCGATAAACACGGAGCTCGTTTACCGTGTAAACGCCAAAAAAAAAAAAAAAAAAACACGGCTAATTATGTGTTCAATAACAGATAAACCCGATGCCTCCGTCTGCTCCAAGGTTAGGCCGACGCGTTAGCTCCTACATTTACGTTTGGGTTCATATTATCAGAGAAAATGAGCTGGAAAATGACATTCAACAGTCACAGATGTAGCGGTGATATAGTGATTAACGTGACACAATGGAAATAACCTCAGTATTTGACGGCGAAGATACACAACAGAGCATTCAGAGAGCATACATCCCAAATAGCCTGCCAACATCAGTCGTGAGGAAGAAATTGGAGTCCATTATTAAATCCGGATTTTTAATATATATATATATATATATATATATAAACAGGAGCTTTAAACACGGTGTTGTACTTACATGTTCCTGGTTGTGTTGGCTAGACAGCTGTGCTGAAATCCGGACTGGAAATGTTAGCGCGTGCTAAGTGGCTGGCAGATGGATGTGGATTGCCTTCTGCGCTCCTCTCTACCCTCTGGCACCCTTTGGTTGGTTATTGTGGCGTTTCCCTGCCTATATAGCCTGGGAGGAACTCTGGCTTGTATCTTCCACTGAGACGAGTCCGCTCGCTACAAAACCTCTTTTCCTTCGTCCTATTTCTACGGCGTTGCGGCACCTGCAGGCTATAACGAGGGCCCGACTCTGTCAGAGTCCGTGCGGTAATGAAGGTGTAATAAACAGCCGCCTGGATTAGGTGGACAAAGATGGCTCGGTGACGTCAGTCGCGGCGAGTTTCATGTTGAAATGGGTGACCGGAGACATCAGACACACCGTTTTAACGGCCAGGACAGCCGGGTTTTAGCTACAGGTGCCGTTATTGGGACTTTTCGCGTGTTTTTCTTTACGGGCGTTACATGTCATGACCGTGCTTGGGTTTAAAGCTGCTTTAAAATAGCTTATTTTGGTTGCAAGTCTGTATGTCAACAAAATGGCGTTCCTCGAAAGGGGGTGTGGCGATCTTCGCAGTAGGTGCCTGGTTATCATTCATGGTAAATATGGATAGGGATGTAGTGGAGAGTGAACCCACCTGAAAGCTATTTGCCAACCTTTTGTTTGAGGAACGAGGCTTCACTCTTTTTTTTCAGTCTGGCAAGGATTTACATTACATTCTGTGTGGTATTATAAATTAAAATTATAAAATGCATAAGTAATGTGAGGGCCCCAGGGACCCTTCTTGCTCCCTGAGGGGGTTTTAGAGTTTTCCAGGCAAAGTAAAGAGAAAAACTACGAATCATATAAAAGCTGGATTGAGATTTTTTGTTCTAAATAGAAGATCCCTAACTTTTTGTACAAAAAAGTAGGATTTAAAAATAATGACCAGTATGAGCTTTTTCTGTGAAACAGCAGTCTAAGCCAACAAGAAAATACATACACATGCTAATTGTTTGTTTTATTAATTGTTTAGTGTGAAATAATTTCCATTTTAACCTTAAATGCCCTTGGTGATAGTAGTCTTGAATTTATTACCTTCATAGAAAGTTCCAGAAAGATGAGTAAACAATGGTAACATTTTTATGATGTAGAATTGGTTTAATTATTGTACAATAAATCCCCAAAGAGATGGAATAACTGTCAGCTACTACAGGATCCAATCAATAATCTGTACATCAATAGGCCTCTGTGTGTTTTATCTTTGGCTCATTTCATGCCGGCTTCTCCAATATTTATTTATGTAAGAGAAGTAAAACATAAAGGAAATAGCAAAAAGTCCATTATTTTTACATGAAAATGCTGCATTAATGCATAATCACGCTGATTGTTTCTTGATTATGTATATTTAAGTGTCTAATGTAGCGCTGGTAACTGACACGGGAGGAGTCCCTAGTCATGTTAAATCCAATCACTTGTATTTACAGTTGCATATTGAACATACTTAACCTCAATGCAAATGGCTTTCCCCACAGCATTAGTCCCATGGGTGCAAGTAAATTACACAAACTGAAATCTCATGTGAGTTTGTGAGTCCACTCTCAGTCTCGCCACTGAAGACCAAATACATTTGTGTTCTAGAATATTTTCAGTTAAACAGATTGTACATGTTTGTTTAAGAAGTATGTGAGTATGACAAGATGGTCTGTCTAAACTTAGCACATTTATTATCCTCAGGATTTCTAGAGCATGGTGGTTTGGACAGAGGAATGACAGGCTGTTCGGACATTTTCAAGTCTAACACTGTTTTCAACCAGAACCTCATGTCAGCTGTGAAACATAGTGCTTAAATTTATGAGTCATTGAAGGAACTCTCCTAAATTGGCAACTGGGTAACCTGATGGAAGGTAAGTACAGTTGAGAAAAACACTGAAGGCCTATTTATGATCTTAGCCAAACGTTCTTATTATACATGTGGAAATTCCTATAATTCATTTGATATTATAAATTTTTTTCTACACACAGTGTAGGGTGAACTGGACAAATTGTCATCTACACACTGTATGTACAAGCTATGTATGTATTGCCTGGTATCTTAAAGGATGTTTGTTCAATCTTATAATTCATAGGGTGATGTTAGCTTTGTGTATATTCTGAGAGACCACATGGGGGTGCCATAGGACAATGATATTTTGGAGGATGTACAGCTGGCATGTCACACACGTTTTAAGTATCAACTAAGAGCACACTAGTTGCTTATCTTGTCTTCATTTGCAACCTGAACCCTAACCCTGTATACTCAAACCCTGTTGGAGCATACTGGTGCCATGAAAAGTGAATGCAGCAGACTACAGTTTTTCTAGAAACGAAAACTGGAAAGATAAAACTTAAATTTGTAGGTCATATGGATTTGTTTCTCAAGGATATAGCTTTTCTCATGATCCCTCTTTTCTGAACTTCAGGATGGGTAATATATAGAAACAATAAATACTAATAATAACCTAATTTATAGACTTGGGAATAATGATCACAGTGATAATGCAGATCTGTTTTGAGCCAGTCCAAGGTTAAACACACACAACACCAAAGATGGTCACTATGATGTCTTCACATAGATTTCTCCTTATGCTATGATCAATTTTGCTACTTATTCAGCTTATTCATTCATTTTAATCAATTCTGTTGCAAAATGGAAAATAAATCTAGAAAAAGTTTTTGTTGGGAGAAAATTTCAAATTTTGATTTCATGAAGTAACAATGCGACCAGGAAACTGGACAAAGCCTTTATGGACAGACGCTGAAAACAAATTCATTGTTATGTATAATCTGTAACTATTTCTCCCAATCTGTGGATGAGGGAAGAATTGTAATGAGTGGGAGATACAGGTATTGTACAGCTCAAACACACAAGTCTTGATCTATAATTGATCAAAGCCTTGAGCCATGACTTCTTCTTAGAAATGGACCCAATCTTGTTGCTTCACACTCCCGAGTCTAAAATGTTAGTGGAGAGATTTGAAGTATTCCGCTCATACATGATGAAACACTTAGACATACATAACAGAACATAAAACGTACACCCCAAACTATAAAAGAGTATAAATATCAACCTTTATATTTCAGTTAATTCTTGAGGATTTGCTCTTCCTTTATATTACCATATGTTTTCTTATCTTATGTGGATCTAGTGGAATGAAGTTTTGTGCAGTTAGGAGAGTTCCTGCTGACATAAAACTGCCTTAGTTTCCCTACAGGCTCTGGAGAACAGGTTTCCACATGAAACACAGTCAAAGAAGCAGTTGCAACAGAGCTGGGAAATTTATTTCTTGTTTAAAAGTGCCTTTACAGTACCCCATGAGGTATACAATTGTGATGAGACAAGACATGAGATTGTCAATGAATGACTGAAAGGTTGTGTATTATGGTTGTATGGAGTTACACGTATACTGTATGAACAAACAGTTTCAGAATCTCAGTTTCATGGCACAGTCTCATGAGAACAGAAAAGAGGAACAATGAATCCAGACACGATGTTTTACATGATAAAATCCTGTCATTTAAAAGTAAGGATTTCATTCACAGTTGTGGTCCTATTTTGCATTTGCTCACATTCCAACAATCACAAAAGGTGTGCGGCACCAAAACTATCCCTCAGCCTCAAACGCCTGAAGCACAAATGTCTAAACAACCAAATAAAACATCCCTGGTGAGGTTCTCAACTCTCTGAAATAAACCTTTCTACATATTGCTTTTTTTTTTTTTGGATGCATTTGTGCAAAAAATCTCAGTGACAATTAACAAAAGTAAACCCATACACACTTGGGACATCACTAAGTGGTTTCAGGTAAGGAGTGATATTGCACTGCTTTCCAACAGACAAAAAGGTACTATACTGGCTGCCAGACAGCTGTCAGTACACCCATGACACAGGCACCCACTGTGGGGTGGAGATGGCACGCTCCATGGCCTCCTCCACACCTTTCACACTTTCATCCACGTCATTGTTGACAAGAACCACATCAAAGAAGTGTCTGTATGTGGTCGAAATGGCGTCTGACTCTTTCTGGATCATCTGCAGGTTTTCCGTCTATAGCAGACACAGACACAGAAGATTAGCAGCTGTTGGCTGTTGAAGTTGGGTGTTTGTTTAGAGCACTTGAGTGTATTCAGATAAAGATGTAGTACCTGGGCAGCAGTGTTGGTCGGAGCGATGAAGACCACGAGGGGTGCAAAGTCAGCGGTCCGCAAGACTTTCAAAGTCTGCATTAAAATGTAGAATTTTGTTAGAGTGATTAACTACAATATACAAACTGCTTGTACAGTATTTAGGACTGTTCATTTTTTTGTGTATTTTTGACACCTTTTACTTCACCAAAGACAGGTAGTAGGGCTAACTTACTGCACATTTTAATTTATGAATTTATATTTCTTATTTACACATTCATTTTTAATGAAAGAAATAAGGTTATATATTTCACATAATATACTGCCTGTTAACCTGCGAACAGCCGCAGCAGCAGAAATAGTAGTTGTAAATGATAATGTAACTGTTGAGAATCTGTATATGCTTGAAATAAAAGGTTAAGCTAATGAGTACTAAGTATTAAACACATTACTGCCTTTAAATGGAGCTGCTACTCAGTTTATGTAATTCAATCTCACAAAGATTTTCAAGCTGCTCATAGAGGTATAAAAATAGAGGTATTTGACTCCAGGTGGTGTTAAAATAACAACCTGTGAATGCTAACCTGTGGTTCTATATCCAGCAGAGCTATTTTGCCTTGCTCATGGATCTTCTGGATGGTCTCGATTTTGGTACCAAACATGTTTCCCTGGAAGCTGCCGTACTCCAGTAGCTCATTTCCAGATATGCACTTGGTCATGGCTTCGTTGGAGATGAAATAGTATCCCTGTCCATTCTCCTCATCCTTACGTGGCGGCCTGGTGGTGTCTGTGTAGAAGGTTAAAGACTTAGCCAAAGGACAACTGTGCAAACTTAGCTGTTCTCTTTAAAGTAAAAACAAAACAAAGTCTGTGGGTCTACTTACGTGGAGCAGGGTAGGAGAACTTCTCAGGGTATTTAGTCAATAGTGCATTTTTGATATGGCTCCTTCCTACACCAGGTGCACCTAAAAAGAGCAGGAACACCATCTTTAATGTCTGAATCTTTAGATATAGTCATAATTAAATTGTGGGAATAAAGTTCCAGAAGTTCTTGTCGATCAGTATGGATAATCAGAAATGTCCTTAAGAATTTGATACTTATAATAAAAATGTAACTGAGCTGGGGAGCTTACCAATTAGCACCAGTGTTTTCCTTTTGAAAGCAGGGAGCTGAACAACCTCCTCATA